GTCAAAATTTAAGTAAAAATAAACAGAATTATGAGGACTATAGATGATATAATGACCCTTGGGAAATAATGAAGGCAATTCATTTAATGAAAGAGAAGCAGAAGAAGCAGAGCAAGAGAGTAAAAAAATAATTCTGAGAAGTACTTTTCGATTGATTTGATTCTTTTTTCTTTTTATCTTTTTCTGGAAGGGTGGGTGCTTATACTATTTTAGTGGGATGGGGGATATAAAGGAGATCGCCTTTTGAAAGATTCTCAAAATTGCCATAATAGGAAAACTTTGGGAAGATGGCTACTATAAGTTGGGCCGCGCACGGGATTATTGAGTGACGCACGTGGAATTTTGGATCGGACTTTATTGAACCCGAACATTAATGCAAAACTAGTCGACTTTGCATTCAATAGGACGGGAACGGCGGAACTTCTATTGCCTTAATTTGGTAAATTGTATATTTCGAAGACATGGAGTTTTGATTAGTAAGTGCATTTGGTTAACTATTTATAAATGTTTTTATTTTGTCTTTTTTTTGTAAAGTTGTCGAATGTCATAAAAATGGTAGGATCTATTGACCTATTTCATAATAAAGATCCTACTATCGATTATTTGTGATATAATTTAAGGATAATTATATTTTAGTGAATATTGAGCTGTATCAATTAGGGTTTTCGGCTAACTTGGCCAATCCAGACTATTCGAACGTTACATTATCTGGGATACGCTTTTTTTTTTTTTTTTTACACATGTAATCTGGTTAAGAAAACCTAGAAGTATGATCAAATGTCTTCAATTTCTTGTTTTTTTTTTTTTTGTGTTTTTTTTTTTATTGTATTTTTCTGTTTGTTTTCTTTGCTTTTATTTTTTTTTTGGTGGTATTATTTTTTTTTTTTTGTTTTTTTTTTTGTTTTTTATTTTTTTTTATTTTTATTATATTTATACTATTATTTTGTAGTTCGGTGAGATGGTGAATCGGATAAGGAATAGATTGGATACGGTATCAGCATTATGTGATCCGAATTCGATCGTGAAAAAAAATAATTTATTTTTTTTCTTATATTTTCTGTAAAATGTGGATATAGATTATAGATGTTTCAGTTAATCTTTGTTTTTTCTCCCTTTCGTTTCTTTTCCACTTTATATTTTAAATTTGTCTCCAACTCTCACCCATTTTCACATTTTTTTAATCTCTACTTCAACAAAAGAAGTATAAGTCAACAGTTATGATGACTGATGATTTCTTTGCGCTTAATAATTTTAAAGGTCTCTTTCTAATTGGCATTAGTATAAATATTTCCAATTACTTTCAGATTTTTTTTTATTTTCAAGCCACCCATAATTATATGATTTATTAAATTCTTATTTTATTTGTTTTAACTAATAAAACAACGGATATATTCGATCCGACCACCCGCTTTCGATTTTGAATCTAATCCGAATCCCACTGAGCGATATAAAACATAGATACATAATATTTTTTGTGGATCGAACGTGTTAAATTGTTATATATCCGATTCGAATCTATCTGATGAGAACAAAATGCGTCCAAATCTAAACCAAACTTGATGTGTGCGGCTTTATGAAATTGTCTCTTTTTTTGTTTTTTTTCACTCTCTTTATTATTGCCAACACACTACATCACATAAACAATCTACCCTGTTAATCACAGGTCTCCGATCCAGCATCTAGTGGCCAAAATGGAATTTTCTCAGTCAATTATTTTCACTACCATTCCAAAAATAATAATATTTTGGAGAACCAATCAAACGATTCTTTTCCAATAATAATAATTGAATATCTGATACAAATAAACTAAAATCTCCTCTATATAAAAAGAATAAAAATAATGCATCTTAATTATATATAATAATAGTATATATATATAATATTATTATATATATATATATATATATACTGGAAGCTGAAAAAAAAAATTTCAAGCCCTTCTCTTTTTGTTTAAGGCATTATTAAATTTTCTTTCCTTAGAAAATTTTAAATTTTTCCTTTATTTTTTATTCTTGATGGTTGTTCAATTTATATTTTAGTATATTAGTTAATCGATAATTATTAACTTTTTTTAAATCTAATCTAATCTAAATAATCTAACCTACTGCATAACTTTATTTTTAAATATTGAGTTGTTTTAACTTTACAATACCAATTTTTCGTAAATTTAATTTTAACTGGTTTTCTAAATCTTATGTGCAGAGAACAATTATTAAACGGAACATTGCAACTTTCTATGTGGTTCAGCAACGCGTGCGGTGTATCTCTCATCTCTCAGACCTATGAACTTATCCACCATTTTTTGGTGTGCATATTTTGACTAACGAGGTTTATTATCCTTTGTTTGAACAGTTCCAGGAGAGAAACAGCTTAATCAATGTGTAAGTGCTATGTAATTACAGAGAATGTGCCATTTTTATGATATTCATATGGTTAATTAGTGATTATTATTTCACATCACACGTTTTCTTATTTGGTTGTTGTCAGGAACTAGAAGATTCCCGCTGCATTTTGTTCTCTTTTTCTCTCTCAATTAAGTGAAATTTCTCTCAATTAAAATTTTAATCATGGGATATTAATTTAATGTACATGCTTTTATGTGAAAAATAAAGTGTTTAATTAAAATTTTTCGTTTATCAAATGACTAACAATTTATCTAACAAGAGGACATTCGCGTTGAAGGATTTCCATTAAACATATTTAATTATTTTTACAAAGGCTTTTACAATAATTTGGTAATTTATAATAGTAAAACCAAGGATTCCGGAATAATTATTATAAACTGCAAGATGAAGTCATATATTTTGTAAAATCAAGGACTTAAAAATAATTTTTCCAAATAATAAATGAAAGTTAAAAGACAATTCCCATGAAGTTCACGTCACATTTGGCTCATTTGGATATTTTAAAATTTTCTTTGTCCTCATCATCTGTCGCGTGTGGAAAAAAACGTGAGGCCTACTATTGTGTATTCAATTTTAATTGCAAATTTAAACTGTCCATGCCTCGATTACTAGCGTTTTTCATTTATGCACTAAAGATATAATTATATCTATTGGAACAAGATTGCTCTTTTTCTTTGTTCCATTTTTTTTTTTTTAATTTTTGGGTTTTAGAATTTCTACGGAGAGGAGTTGAGGTGTCTGATTAAATGGGGCTTTGTGTTAGCAACGGAATCAAGGGTTATTCTCGTAGCACAGTTACCCATTTATTCTTTTATGTTTTAGTGTTTAAGTTTGTATGTGTTTTCACAATTAGCTGTTACTGCTTTTCCTTGATTGAGATTGAAATCAGTCGCCTTCTTCTTAATTTTTACCCTAAAGATGCTTGAGCTGTTCTTTTTGTCTTTCCCTCGGTATTAGTCACTCTCTATGTTTGCTGTTGCTATGGCTTTCACGAATACACTTAATGTTCTTGACAAGAAATTTAAATTTTTAGATGTATTGTTACTTTCTGTAAATTTGAAGATAAATTTCTAAGGTATGTACTTCTATAGTTGGTTATTTGATAATTTCCCTTGGATTCAATCAGAATTTGTGAAAGTTTGTCAGTCTTTGGTGATGATTTAGAGTATTGGTGTCTGAGGAAAAGTGTGTTTATATAATTTAAATTATGAAGATATTCTTTGAGATTATGTATCATATTGATATTCTGCTCTTCGGGACCTATTTGACAAAAATTGATTATTCTAGTATGAGAGTTAGTAATTAGGCAATGAGAAGGATAATATTTTTAGAGTTTCCTTTTAGACAATTTTTATTTCATTAATTTATTGTCTTGTAGAATTGAATTCAAGAAATTTAATTTATTGTCTTGCTAGAATTGAATTTCAGAAATGTCAGAAGAAGATGGGGAACAGAATCTTGGTGTTTTGAGTCGTGTGGAGAGTATTGCAGTCACCAAATTTAAGAACTTCTAGCTTCATTGACAACTGAATATTGCCACTAGAAACTTATCCGATCAAGAAAAACGTCTGGGTGATAGATGCTTTTGGGCAAGTTTTTCCTTGGGGACGTCATTGCATGGCATCTGGACGATTCGCTGTGAGGGGGGTTAACAAAAGTGTGTTCCTTGGTTCAGGAGGAAATGGTCTGGTCAGGTTTTATGGTTGTCATTTTCTTTAAATTGGTATTTTCTCAGCTATTATGATTAAATTTTTTCTTTTTTCATTCAGGGGCTTACTTACTATCGGTTGAGTCCTTAATTAGAGGGAGTTCATACTTCTCTCATCCAATTAGAGGGACCTGTTGGCAATACAACGAAATAATATGATTGAAATGTGAATCAAGTTTTCTCTATTTTACGTTAAATGCATTGGCTCATCTTTACACCGATAGTATGCTCAATCCATAGAAATAATCCATTGTTTTGATTTAAGTTCTTTCTCTCGTTAATGTTTATTTGCCTTTTTTTCTGCGTGTGTTTATTTAAGTTGGATGTATTAGTTTGTGTAGGTTCTTTTGGCTGAGGCAGGATCACTATTCTGGAATTTTGCGATCTAATCTTTGTTATAGTTGATATGGTTACTGCTTAGCAGACTCAGCTTCCGGTTTCGGTTGTTGTTTTGCTTATGCGATGCCCCAGTGTTATTTGGGTTTTTTATTAAAGTCCATGTATATCTTATTTGTATTACTCGACTTTTTATGCTTTTTTGTTTTTGCATACTGCATAAGTTAAGGAATCTTGATTATAGGGGGGTTGGGTACAGTTCTTCGGACATTTCGCGCTGAAAGTTCGGTGCTGCAAAGGGCTTGCATTTGTTCCTAGGTGCTTTGTGTGAGTCTTCATTGGGACTTAAGACTTATATACTGCTTTGATTCAGTAGTTAATTTAACCTAATTACCTGATCATTTTTTCACCATATATTTTGTTTTTCACAATATATTTGAATTTAGGACTAACAATTAGTTGAGTATATCTGCATTTGTTGACCTACCTGCTACATTTGCTCCATATTTGTAGAACTTCAATGCAAAGCTTTCTGGTTTTGCTTTAGCTAGGGATGGGCCAACTGATGATGAGAGTTACGTCAGTAGTCCTTTCAGGGGTACTACTGGATATGCTGCACCAGAGCGTCTAACCACAGGTATCATTTTCATTTGTGGCTTCTCGTAACTCTGATTGATATTAGCTTGCTTGATATGCTTCAATTTTCTGGTTCAATGTACTTATTTTTACCATTTTCTCTATGCACTACAAATGTCATGTTTGAGCAATTTATTCTTCACTTGTTTGAGCATTAGAAGTGTTAAACATATCCCTAATCCTAGGAAATATAATCTGAGACTGCGCAAGGCAAAGGGGTGTTAGAGAGGACGAGCACGAGTGAAAGCTTCCGTTGATGGAGAGATATTGTGAGTAAAAACTGCATATCATCGATTCTTTTGAGGCATTACCATTGAAATATTTGCAAGTGAATCCTTTTTTTTTATTTTATGAAGGTTAATGAAGGATCAAAATTTGTCTAAAATTCGCAGGTTATAGTGTAGAGGGTAAAGGATAGTCGGCCTTGTATCAAAACACTCACCATATTAGCAAAATTGCCCACCATTCCTTCACGTTAAAGTTTGTGAGGAGAACAATCAAGTCTAACCTGATCAGAGAAACTTTATTTTTAATAATATATTTGTGTTACTCAACCTCTAAGTCTCACAGCATAGTTCAAAATAGGGTTAATAATATATGTAGTTATTAAGTTTTTTTTTTTTTTTTTTTTTTTTTTTTTTTTTTTTTTTTTTTTTTTTTTTTTTTTTTTTTTTTTTTTTTTTTTAATGGCTAAGTAGGAAAAATTTGGAATTAAGTACTACCTTTGTTCCATAATACTTGTCACGTTTGAAGTTTCAGGTCTCTTAATAAAATCATTAAATCTGTCTAAGTTACAATAAATTATTAAGTAAATTGACTGTATTATCCTTAATTTAATACTAATTCTCTAAAAAGATCATTAAATTGAAGTAATAATTATTGGTCATATACAAAGAGTGAACATAGAAAAAAGTATTTATTACATCTTGAAATCACAAACATGACAAGTATTTTAAAACAAACTATTTTTTTAAATGTGATAAGTATTATGGAACGGAGGTAGTATATGAATTAATAATGTTTGCACAATTAAGTGTATTTAGTTTGAATCTTAAAGGAAAATCAAAATGAACTATTACCCTATGATTTTGCTTTATTGATTTTTTTAAGATTATCATATTCCTTCTTCTTATTACACTCTCTCTCTCTCTCTCTCTTATATTATTTTCAAATTGAAAGAAAACTGGAAGAAATTTTTTTGACTTTTTTAGAAAGAGATATAAAATAGTAAAAAAAAGGAAAAAAAAAAAAAAAAGAGATGGATTGAATGTTTATGATTGATATCATTTATTAAGTAATAAGATGGTTATTTTAATTTTCCGATAATTCACTTGATTGCTACTTTTGGATAATTCAGACATTCATGATTGCTACTTTTGAATAATTCAAACATTCCATTAGAAATTTTTTTTCATTCAAACATCCAAATAAAAACCATTAAAAAGTTTAAGCACTGCAAATATAATTAACCCTTCACAATATTCTCTCCACGCTAATACTAATTATGTGGTTGTTAGACCAACTTATGGGGTTGTGGCTGTACTTTGCCTATGGTTTATGCAGTATAATACAACAATATTGTTATATTGTATATGGATTCTGGTCACTTACTAAATTTTGATATTGAACAGGCCGTTTAAATGCAAAGTGCGATGTATACAGCTTTGGAGTTGTACTTCTACAAATTTTATCCGGCAGACGAGCTATAGAGGAATTTATCCGGCAGACGAGCTATGAGAGTGTATTTTATCCGGCAGACGAGCTATAGAGAGTTTAAATGCAAAGTGCGATGTATACAGCTTTGGAGTTGTACTTCTACAAATTTTATCCGGCAGACGAGCTATAGAGAGTACTGCGCTACCTAAGCACGAGTACATAGTGGAGTGGGTAAAGTCTTCCCTGACAAACAAAGACGGAATTTTCCGAGTTTTAGACGGACGTCTTGACGGCCAACACTTTATTAAAAGGGCTCGAAAGTTGGCTAACCTTGCACTTCATTGCTTAAATGATGAGCCGAATTTCAAGCCAGACATGGAAGAGGTGGTTACGGCATTAGAGTCGCTTCAAGAATCAAATTAAAGCATGTGTTTATCGGAGCAATGTACAGTTTCTGCTTTGCATTTTGCTTGTAATATTTATCACTTTGTTATTATTGGTATTATGACAATGTTACAGGCAATAATTTTCCTTTCAGTTGAGGGAGTAAAATTTTCTTACGGTGTTCTGTTCATACACTTTACAGTTTGAGGTTAACGGTATGTATTTAATACATCATAAAACAAATTTTGAAAAATTGGTTTTTCGCATTTTGCTTGTAATATTTATCACTTAGTTATTATTGGTATTATGACGATGTTCTAGGCAATAATTTTCCTTTCAGTTGATGTAGAAAAATTTTCTTAAAGTGTTCTGTTCATATACTTTACAATTTGAGTTTAACAGTATGTATTTAATACATCATAAAACAAATTTTGAAAAATTGATTTTTCGCATTTTTCATTTATTTCCCTACCACTTCTTGCAACTTAGATAAAAAATCAATCAATATAAAGTTTGAATTGAGATACTTCTTACATTCTCAAATACTTCTTTCCAAATATTTTTCAAGAAAAAAAAAAGTATTTTATTTTTCGAGAAGAAACGGTGAATCAAAATTTTGTTTTTGTTTTTGCTTTCTGCCTTTTTGTAGAGCTGAATGGTATGTAATTTAGTAAGGATTGTTGAAAATGAAAATGTTTCAAGACAAAGGTTGTATGACATGGATATGCTTCCCTTACTTCAATTTTGGCCTCTGTCATCAAATGTTCATGGATATTGGAACCAATCTGCTCATGAATAAACTCAAATGCTCAAAATCTATCTTCAATTTTTTCTAACAGTTCAATGCATCAAATTTTTCTGCCATGAAACAATAAAATTACAAAACAAACCTGAATGGGGTAGTTCAGTGGCAAAGAACCCTTGCGAGATTGATCACCATGACTTAGATCATGGATTCGATCTTTCGCAATGCAACCTCCCCTGGACCAACCCCTTTGTCTACGAGAGCAAGTGGAGAATAATCGTATCTGTAAACTGTTAAAACGGACATAAGCCTGCATACCTCGTTCAAGTTTCAAAGGAAAAAAAAACAAAATTACAAAACAGTTACAGAAAATAAAAATAAATTTTACGAATAAGAAACTGAATAACAAAACTACTTAGCAAAATGAAACACAACCTTTAAAGAATATGATTAGGCAAAAGGAACAAATCTCAAAATCATATATACATATGAAGATTTAAAATTTTTAACAATAGCTTACATCAATACAATTATAAAACCATTTAGTCCAAGGTTTTAAAATTTTTTAACAAGATTTAAAATTTTTAACAATAGCTTACATCAATACAATTATAAAACCATTTAGTCCAAGTAAATGTGCATTTTGCATAAGTAGCGGGAATCAATAGATTGTAAATAATCAATTATGTTCATATATATAAGCTATGCAAACAATTTTAAAATATCTAAATGCAAAAGTTTATTAAGGCTCATGCAAAAATTTGTAATTAGCAGACTCATAAATTTATTTTATAATTTAATTATAATAATCATCATCATCACCAAATTAAACGTCATCAATCCTAATTCATAACGAAAAAGCTCATTAAAATAATCCCATTTATATGTTTAGATTAAATTATTAGACAAAACTTGACAATTTTATTTGATTTCTCTCCCTTAAAAGTAAAGTTGAAATAAAAAGTATTTTCTTTAGTTGATTAAAAAATTGTAAAATCTTAAAAGAAAGATTATCTAATTGAATGACAACGAAATAAAAAGTTTATTTTAATTAATAATTTAAAAATAGAGGTCTTAATTTGTAAATTTCACCAAACTATAAAAATTAAAAGTAATTTACCTTATACAGCTTTATGAAATCTTTAATTGATTAAATCCAGTACAAGAAAATCAAATTATAAAATACTAGTCGTCGTCCTGCACTTCAAGTGGGGATTACATGATGTTTGAAAATAAAAATGCTATTTTTATTACAACAAATAATCACTTTTAATAATTCAAATATTAAATATATTATACTTACTAATTTCCAAATAAATAAAAAAAAAATTATTTTTTCGTAGATTCCTGCAAAATGATCAATATATTAACATATACGTACATAAATCAAGTTTATAATTAATCTTAAATTTTTTATTTTCTAGAAATATTTTAGTAGGTTTTAAAATAATTTTTATAAATATCAGTTATATTGAATTCATTTTGAATAAATAGTTTAAAATATGGGCATAAATCCAATAAAGATTAAAAACATAAAAAAAATTTCATTAAAGTTTGCTTTAATTTGAAATAGGTCAAGACATACTATTATCTCCATTCATAAAAGAAAATATACATATCAATTTAATCATACATTAGTTGATCATCGAGCAGTAAGAAAATATACATATCAATTTAATCATACATTAGTTGATCATCGAGCAGTAAATATACTTTATAATTCATCATCATCATCACATTGATCAAGTTCAAATTTATTAAATGCCATGAAAATAGTTTTATATTCTTTGCAAGTAATCCATTTCTTTTTGTTGAAAGTATGATGTGATTTTTTTTTTTTATGGTTTCATTTATATTGAAATAAATGTTTATAAAAATTTCGTAAAAATAGGAAAGTAAAAAAAAAAAAAGAAAATGAAAGAGAAAATATTAATGAAATTATTAATTATTTATAATAAGAAAGTGAAAAAATTTTAAAATATGTGATATTATTATTTTTATTAATTATTTAAAAACTAAAAACATTAATGATATTAATTAATTCTCTATTAACAAATTATAAAATAAATTGATAAAATGATTTTTCATGTATAGGGTGTTGGAAGATATATCAGACGGTATAGTGGCACTGACTACAAAAGAAGGTAAAAAATTAACTTTATATAAAAATAATTTTTTAGCCGTTATATTTAAAATTACGTTTACATTAATAATAATTGTACTTGTCTCAAATATAAATTTACTATGCAGGTTCTCATTGCATGGACATATTATATGCAACAAAAGATGATCCAGAGTGGTTGGTCTTACAGAGGAACACAGCACTTGAGATTATAAGTGGATGGATATTAACTTACTATCAAGATCTCTTTGGAATTAATTAATTAATTATCTTTCTTTAATTCACATTCTTTTTATTTTTTTCCCCTTTTATTAGCATTTTATTAGAATTAGATTAATTAAATTATCAGTAGAATTCAGTTAGCTATAAATACTTTGGATTTTTCTTTTGTTTTTTTTTAATAAATTCGTGTCTTGTTAAAAGCCATTATTATTATTTTTTTAATTTTGTTTATTTTGGTGTTCTCTTTCATATTTCTTTTGGCTGGTATGTTTTTGTTTTGGCTTTTCTTGTAGATTTTTGTTTTCGTAGTATCATAGTTTTTTGTTTTTCTCTGTTTTTCTGGTGCTTTTAGAGGGTTAGAATGATCATATGCAGCGATGCTGTTTTTTTTTTTTTTTTTTTTTGATTCCATATGCCAGCGGATGCTGTTTTTTTATTTTTTTTTTTTTTTTTTTTTTTTTTTTTTTTTTCTCCCTATCGTCTCTTTTCGAAATCACTATTATATTTTCATTTTTGTTTTTAACATTTTGTTCAGAAATGCAACACATGAGCACTCAACATAGGCTGCAATATTGATTATAAGACTTAAGAGGCAACTAAGGTGGATTTATAAATGCAGGTACATCTAGACTGATAAACCACTAAATATTTTTATGAGGGAAAATATTAATATTGAGGACAAATAGCATACTTTTAAAAATAAAAGGTTTTTTCATATTTAGAAAATTCACATAATATAATACAATAAACTCTCTATATTTGAAGTCACAGAAAAATCAGAGAGGGTACCTAAACCTGGATACCCCACTAATGGTTGGCAGGTGGGTTTCCCCTTTGGGTTCACAGCAAGACAGGTTCCCCATTAGAACAAAAATTGACATCTCTAAGTGGATGTAGTTCAATGTCGGTTTTATAGTGCAGTCAAAAGAATAAAAGAAGAAAAAGTGAAACTTAAAGGCAATTTCTTCCTTGAAAATTTGAAGCTTGCAAATGAAGTATTCTTGTTCACAAGAAAAGGAAAAACAGAAAAAATTAGAAAAAAGAAAGACTTACCAGCAATTCTCTTTTGAGATTCCACAAACCGTGTTCCTCGTCCAATTTTAAAGGTGTTCCTCGTCCAATTTCTTTCTGGGAAATAAAGAAATAATTAATATGGAAAAGAATAATAGAATGGTAAAGGATTTGAAGGACAAAGAAAACAAGCATCTATCTTATTCAGAAGGATATCCTGTTCCTATATCAGCATTCTCATTTCTTTATCCAGCAAAATTTCTTTTACTATAAAAAAAGGGTTTACTTCCCATGTGGAAAAGTAGGTCCAAACCAACAAATCAATCCTTGCAAAATAAAAATGAACAATCCTCATCATGATGCAAAATTATGCGATTTAAATCATGATCTATTATTCCCCGGGCTCATATGGATTGATATTCCAAATTACATAAGGCAAAACAACTGCAGCAACCTTTGTATGTCTCCTAAAACAATCTTTCTCAACTTCCAGCCAATAAATAGCAAGAAAGTATGAAATGCTTGAGCTGGAGATTCCAGATTTTAAACAACATACAACTGCAATTTATGCAGCCACTGTGCAGGCACTCCACTCATTCTAACTCAACCTCAAAGACACCACAGAAGTTACTGATAGTTACTAGTTAATGGATTCTAGGTTGAGGAGGTTAGCTGTAATTTATACAGCCACTGTGCAGGCACTCCACTCATTCTAACTCACGCTCAAAGACACCACAGAAGTTACTGATATGTGCAGGCACTCCACTCATTCTAACTCACGCTCAAAGACACCACAGAAGTTACTGATAGTTACTAGTTAATGGATTCTAGGTTGAGGAGGTTAGCTGTAATTTATACAGCCACTGTGCAGGCACTCCACTCATTCTAACTCACCCTCAGAGACACCACAGAAGTTACTGATAGTTACTAGTTAATGGATTCTGGGTTGAGGAGGTTAACTGTGCCGGAACTTTCATCAACAATCCTTAATCTCCAGCATCTGATTTCAATAAGCAAGGATGAAGAAATAAATTATTTCTACATGACAAATCCAAAAACAGAAGGCTGAACACAGCTTCAAGTGGTGTGATTGAAAATGAAATGTTTATCAGACATAATGGGTCGGAAATGTCTGGATGTTATAAACATCAGATATTTCTGATGTCCAAGTTTTATACATTCAATTAAAAGCTGTGATATACATGCAAATGCCTTGTATGTATACTTGTTTATTTAAGGAAAGTATGTCCCATGGAAGTGCACCTTCACATGCATTTCACGTCTAACGTGCAAATTCATTCTGCACCGGGATAGCTGAGAGACCTGCCCAACACATCTCCAGCTTTCTCATAGTTCATCATTACTCATTTTTCCAACTAGCCAGACAGACAACAATCAATTTCTTTGAACTGGAGTGTCACCACTAGGTTGGACATGTGGAACCACATGCTTTCTTACAAGCAGCATTTGTGAAACATGCAGAACATGCACTAGAGTGGCATTCGCCTTTAACAAATATTATTATTTTAAAGTTATCATATGTCAAACACGCAAATATATGTATACATTATGCAACACAAGAAAAGCTCTCATACACAGAAAAGTACAGGAAATCAAGGTCTTTACATGGAAGCTATTATGCAACACAAGAAAAGCTCTCATACACAGAAAAGTACAGGAAATCAAGGTCTTTACATGGAAGCTCATATGACATCTTGTTTTACTGAAGCAGTGAACTTTGTTGTCTCATGTCCAAGCAGGATCAATAGCATCCATAGGTTATCAGAGACAAGTTCACAAACTATTCTAACAATGCCACATTAAGTCACCCAGAAAGTGAATTCATACAACAACATTACCTGGCCCCATCCAATATCAAGCCCAGAAACTTCCACTGTAGAGCAGTTGTCATCTTTCCATGTCAGAGTAACAAGCTTCTTTCTGTGACCTGTCAGCTTTCAATAAGAGAAATGCGATAAATCAGTTTGTATTGTGTAAAAATCAAGGCAGAAATGGTTACATCATAAAGCTTGCGAGGAGAACAAAGCAGTTAGATGAAATCATCAAGTTATTTCTCCTACTAAAGTTTCTTTTTTTTTTTTTTTCCATAGAGAACTCCCATAATTGATCAGTCACTGAATAGGCTACATGGATCTCTCTAAATCCATCAGCATTTGCTTTTGCACTGGCTCTCACATGGATCTCTCTAAATCCATCAGCATTTGCTTTTGCACTGGCTCTCATTTCTTATTCTTGAACCAACTCAGTTATGCACCCGTAACAAATGAAACTATTGGAAATATCAAAATGGCAAAATAGTAAACAACAAATATATAGCATTTTGCCTGGACAATAAAGTTACCATAAAGAAATGACTGGGAATTATGCTTATTTATTGAAATACTTTTAGGAAAATGAGGCTTATTTTTTTATGAAAATTTCATGAAAAAATAAGATTAAGATAAATTTTGCATCCTCCATGTGAAGGAATATCCATTTGTCCCAAGTTTCATAGATTATCCTCTAAGTTGCCCCCATCTCCACTGCTGAAATTCTTTCAGAAGAAACATTTTCCTTAAGCTTTGCTAACTCCCGCATAATTAGCCAAATGAAGAATTAGAGCATGAGGAAAAATGTGAATCACAACTGCCCAACTACTGTGTGATGTACGAAACCTACTTGTCTCAAACTCACTGAAAGTTAGGTTCGCAAACAAAATGGAACAACAAATTATGATGTAATACATGTGTAACTGGTGAAGTTTGGCATCAACTTGAAATATGAAGGCCCTTTCAGACACCTCACCTAACAAATAATGCATTTCAAGTATGATATGTGCGGCTGATTAAAAACAATCACAATTACAAGCTGTATAAAGTTTTTTTTTTTTTTTTTTTTTTTCTCTCTCTTATAGAAAAGGTCTGTCATGAATGTCTCTAAAATGAACCAAAGTGAGAATGAGAGAGATGATAATGGATGAGAGATGAGAGACAGAGAGAGAGAGAGAGAGAGAGATCAAATGTGCAAAAGGACAACAATATTCAAGGATTTCACAACTCACTATGTCAGCAGTCGCACTTTTTATAGCATCTATCTTAGGGAAGCATGGGCGCTTGTTCTGCAAGAAAAAAAAAAAACAATAATAAGCTAACTAAGATGCCAATTAGCTTCTCTGTACAACAGTTCTCTCTCATTTAATTGACTCAATCCTCTTCGTCACTATCTTCATAAATACCAAGTCGTGAAAATGCACAAATGGGAACTCTGGCAATAGTTTATTATATAATCTCATCCAAATTTAAAACTGGTATAACATGTGAACTGATATCTCAATTAGTAAGCAAGAAAAGAACGACAACCACCACATAAGCTGCCATCACCAAAGATAGACCATTGTTTTAAATACCGGATATTTTGACATCAACAAGATTTCAGAGTGTTCTGCAATAGTGTATCTCACATTGCAAATTGAAGTACGCAACCAACGCCAATTATTACAAGCTAATTACAGGACACAGAAAACTTATTGAACAAGATGTTACAATAAATTTAATTAGAAATCATCTGCTTCAGAGTAACATTTAGTATTAAAATCTAATATTCCCGGATATTTGTAATTGCTTTAGGATGTTACCAATACATTATACATGTCACCTTCATTGAAGTTAAAAACTAGTTTAAAGGAAAGAAATTAAAAAGTTACCAGAAGCAAATCATGAGCATCACCAAGTTTGTAGCCCTGAACCCAGAACACGTATGCCACCTGTGATTCATAACAAGCACTCAGTTCATTATCAAGGAGAAATGAATCAACTATGCCATGAAAAAGTCAGAACATGTGAAATTTAACCTTATAGCACTCAGATAAGACCTAATAGTTGGTCATAAGGAGCAAGTAATCAAAAGATATTGGCTAAAAGTATTAGGCAAACTACAACATTTTTCACAAAGAAAACTGAAATGCATACTGCAACAGCCGGAGCTCTTCCTAGTCCAGCTGTGCAATGTATATATGTCACACTTCCATTTCGGTTTATTGCTTTGTACAATTTACTAACCACTGTGGAAGCCGTATCCGTAAATCAAATGCATCAAAGTCCCTGCCATATCCAATATTAGTTACTGCATTAGAGGTCCTGTATCAAGTAAAAATTTGCACTCTACAGAAAAAGAGATGCACATGTATATCCATGCACACACCACCATTGTGCTCTTTAGCATGGTAACTTAAATTACTTAATAATTAATTGAATGGTAACTTAAATTAATTGATCAGAAATTCAACTGAGTAGGAAGAATAATTTAAAGAGTAATTTCACAATAGAACAAAGGAATGGGAGAACAATGAACACTAGAACTTAATAAGACTAAAAAGGTGGAAAATGAATTACCACTGCTAACAAAGTCCCAAAAGGTGGCAAGAAGTGATAACAACAATAACTCAAATTTGATAAAAATAAAAATACAAAATAAATAAATCATTACCAATTTTTCAGCTGAAAAAAGTTTTAATATCATCACCAATTTTACAGTGGAAAAAAGTTTTAACTGTAGAAATGAGTTTACTATCTGCTAATTTTATCCTTGCTTATTGATTTAGTCAAGTGGTTGTGGAAAAACTTAAAGAAGAATATCACAATTGGAATGAAAAACAAGGTGTTGTCATGACCTGCCTTATCTCTGCACGCAAGTGTTGACTGTCATTGCATTTCTTGGCATATTCTCGAATGGCATTGATATCTACCCCAAAATATCTGGGTATAATAGTAAAGGTATACTATTTTATCACATGCTAAAAATTCTTGAGGACTCAAATTTCCAACAGTTACATATCAACCAAACAGAGACCATATAAAAGGAAGCAAACTTAGTGTTCTTTTTTTCTGTGGCAAGTCTAATCTCAAATGGAACTTAAGGACGGTCATTTGGGATACTCCAAGTTTGGGTCCTGCTGCAAGCAATATATGGTTTTCACTCCTACTTCTCGAAGCTTGTCAACATCTTCAGGAGTCTAGCAATTAGGAACTTAAACATCTTCAGGAGTCTAGCAATTAGGAAATAAATAAGAAATCAAAATAGAAAAATAAGAGATAATCATGAGCGAAAAGATTAATTCATAATTTATTGAAAAATAATCACCTGCAGGCATGATCCTACAATTAAATCTGGAGAAATGAAGTTGCAGTTCATTCCTAGTTCATGCCCATAGGTCAAAACTGTACTAAAACAAAATAGGACAAATGATTAGTAGTGTTAAAGAAAAAAAAAAATGATGATACATTTCAAATGAGAAGTCTTGAAAAGCATAACTATCAACTTAAACCATATAAATATTGAGAAACAAACCATATAAATATTAATCTCATGCATTTGTTGACACAGAAAAAAACCATGAAGGCCTGAGTAGTATCCCCTCTCTCAAACAGTAACTTTTCTTTGATCACATGAAACATTTACAGAACCACAAGCATTAAAAAAAAAAAAATCATTCAGATGCATACCCCAAGAATAGAACACATTTGACCCACCAATTCCTCGCACTTAAAAAGGGACCTAGGGAATTTTGGAATTACCAGCACCCATAGCTTCTGTCATGTTATGGCTATATGTCTCAGATTTTTCCGTGTCCTCCTTCAGATCAGCACCACTTGTGTCTGCACTAGCTGAAGAACCAGAAATTGCCTACAAACAACAACGTCAAATAATCTTTTCTTAGAAAAGATGCAAAGAACCAGAAATTGCCTACAAACAACAACATCAAATAATCTTTTCTTAGAAAAGATGCAGATTTATTGAAGTGGAACGGCCACTGATTTCTTCAAATAAATTTTTTCCACGGAAAAGAAAACAGAAAAAAAAACAGCTGCTTTAATTACCATAATTGCCTACCAACTGATCAAAACAAAATTGTAATCATGTAGGATTTCCAATCATGGCAGCATCTATATAACCATTTTTTTTCATTAAAACAACCAACAGACCAGTTAAAAGAATTAGCACTCTTATGTCAAATCCAGTGCAGAAAAATCTACATTGGTTGATTATGATGGAAAATTTAAAGAAACATAAACATTTTCTAAGAAAAGGTTATGGAATAGAACAAACAAAAGCGAAAATATTCCAGAAAATCTAATAAAGTAAGATATTTACTGAAAAGAGAATAATGGGGAAAAAATTAACTACTTCAGGGTATCTAGTTTTCACTGCTTGAAAATAACAGCACATAATCCATCTAAAAAAAGTGAGAAATGAGAATCAAACAACAGAGATAGAAATTCCAAAACAAATTCAAAATCTCCAGATTGTTCAAAAGCTACCTTTACAGCCAAGCTTCGATACAGATCATTAAAATTCTTCATTGCCTGCGTAAAATCAGTAATCAACTTTTCAATAAAGCTAAATAAAACTAAATGTATATACACATAAAAACACAAGAATTGAATAAAAACTAAGGTAAGAGGATATCACCACCATATTAACAGGAACAGAAAAAGGAGGAGGAGAAGAAAGCTTTGTTTGGTGCCCTTTGAAGCCTTGCAGAGGCAAAGCAGAGGATCTGAAATTCCAACAGTAAATTACACAGTTGTTCAAATTTAAGGAAAAATAAACAAATTATGAGGATATAATTATAATGACCTTGGGAAATAATGAAGGCAATTCATCTGATGAAGAAGAAGAAGCAGAGAAGAGTGAAAAATATCTGAGAAAGTGCTTTTCGATTGATTTGATTCTTTTTTTTCTTTTTATTTATTCTGGGAAGGGTGGGGGTTTATATAGTTTTAGTGGGAGGGGGATATAAAGGGGATCGCCTTTTGAAAGATTCTCCAAAATGCCATAATAGGAAAATTGTGGAGGATACTTACTATAAGTGGGGCCCGCAGCACGGGATGTTGAAGTTACGCACGTGAATTTTGGATCGGACTTTATTGAACCCGGAAATTAATGCAAAACTAGTCGGATTCATTCAATGGACGGAGCGCGGAACTTCTATTGCTTAATTGGTTAAATTGATGTCAACACATAAGTGCATTTAGTTTAACTATTTATAAAATGTTTTTATTTTTTGACTTTTTTCGTAAAAGTTGTCGATTGGTAGGTCTATTGACTATTTATAATAAGATCCTATTATCGATATTTTGTGATATATTTAAGGAATAATTATATTTTTATGAATTTTGTATTGACTGAGTATATCAATTTTTTAAAATTTATAATTAGGTGTTTTCGACTAATTTGGCAAATTAAAAAAAGTGAACGTGCAATCGTGGGACACCCTTTTTTTTTTTAAACATGGCAGCTAAGAAGACTAGAGATAATCAAATGATCCGATTCGTTGGATATTCTCTCCGATCCGAATGGAGTAGATAAAATCTGATCCGAATAGTGGTGAATCGGATAAAGATTTTAAAAATAAAATTTGCACGGATATAGATTGAATTCGATCAGTGAAAAATAATTTTATTTTTTTCTTATATTTCTAAAATGGCTGACTATAATTATAGATGCGCAGTTATCTTTTTTTTTTTCTTCCTTCTTTGTTTTCCATTTATATTTTAAATTATTGTCTCCAACTCTTCACTATTTTCACATTTTTTTTAATCTCTACTTCAAACAAAAGAATATAAGTCAAACATTACGACGACTAACATGATTTCTTTTGCACTTAATAATTTTTAAAGTCTCTTCTAATTGTTATAGTATACAATATTTCAATTATTGTTAAGAATTTTTTTTATTTTCAAGCACAATAAATAATATGAATTTTTATTAAATTCTTATTTTATTTTTATTTTAAACATAATAAAAACGGATAATATTCGATCCGAACCAACCCGCTTCGATATTTGATCTAATCTGAATCCCAACGGAGCCTATATAAACATAGATATATAAATATTTTTGTGGATCGAATGTAAATTTTATATAATTCGATCCGAATCCGATCTATGATCATCCCTGATGAGAACAAAATGAGGTCCAAATTAACCAAAACTGATGTGGGCTTTATGAAAATTGTCTCTTTTTTTTTTTTTTTTTATCGGGACCTGTGATTAACCAAGGGTTAGGTTAATACTATCAAGTGATGTAGTTTTTGGGCAAAATAATAAATTTGAAGAAGGTGAAATAAAAAAAAAAAGAATGAGGGAGATGATTAGGGTGGTGGGAGCTTTTTTAATGAAAATGCTCTTTTTTTTTTTTTTTTTTTCACCTTTCATTTATTATTGCCCAACAACTACATCACATAAACAACCTACCCTGTTAATCACAGGTCTCCGATCCAGCATGTAGTGGCCAAAATAGTGGCCAAAATGGATTTCTCAGTCAATTTATTTCACTACCATTCAAAAAATAATAATATTTTGGAGAACAATCAAACGATCTTTTCCAATAATAATAATAAAATCTGATACAATAACTAAAATCTCTCTATATAAAAAGAATAAAATAATGCATCTTTAATATATATATATATATATGGAAGCTGAAAAAAAAATTCAAGCCCTTCTCTCTGTTAAGCATTTAATTTTTCTTTCTTTAGAAAATTTTAAATTTTTCCTTTATTTTTTTTATTTTGATCGGTTGTTTCAATTTAATATTTAGTATATAGTATCGATAATTATCAACTTTTTAAAAATCTAATCTAATCATCTAACCCACTCCAACTTTAATTTTTAAATATATGAGTTGTTTTAACTTTTAAATACCGATTTTTTTATTAAATTTAATTTTAATGGTTTTTCTAAGCTATATTTACAGAGGGAACAATTAGTTAAAGGGAACATGCAACTATTCTATGTGGATCAGCAACGTGCGGTGTATCTCTCATCCCTCAGAAATATGAAACTATCCACGATTTTTTGTGTTGCATATTTTGATTAATGAGAGTTATTATTTCTCTTTGTTTGAACAGGTTCCAGGAGATGAACAGGTTATTAATGAACAGGAGATGAACATATTTCAATACTACATAAATGATTCTTTCTCTTTTTCTCTCTCAATTAAGTGAAATTTCTCTCAATTAAAATTTTAATCATGGGATATTAATTTAATGTACATGCTTTTATGTGAAAAATAAAGTGTTTAATTAAAATTTTTCGTTTATCAAATGACTAACAATTTATCTAACAAGAGGACATTCGCGTTGAAGGATTTCCATTAAACATATTTAATTATTTTTACAAAGGCTTTTACAATAATTTGGTAATTTATAATAGTAAAACCAAGGATTCCGGAATAATTATTATAAACTGCAAGATGAAGTCATATATTTTGTAAAATCAAGGACTTAAAAATAATTTTTCCAAATAATAAATGAAAGTTAAAAGACAATTCCCATGAAGTTCACGTCACATTTGGCTCATTTGGATATTTTAAAATTTTCTTTGTCCTCATCATCTGTCGCGTGTGGAAAAAAACGTGAGGCCTACTATTGTGTATTCAATTTTAATTGCAAATTTAAACTGTCCATGCCTCGATTACTAGCGTTTTTCATTTATGCACTAAAGATATAATTATATCTATTGGAACAAGATTGCTCTTTTTCTTTGTTCCATTTTTTTTTTTTTAATTTTTGGGTTTTAGAATTTCTACGGAGAGGAGTTGAGGTGTCTGATTAAATGGGGCTTTGTGTTAGCAACGGAATCAAGGGTTATTCTCGTAGCACAGTTACCCATTTATTCTTTTATGTTTTAGTGTTTAAGTTTGTATGTGTTTTCACAATTAGCTGTTACTGCTTTTCCTTGATTGAGATTGAAATCAGTCGCCTTCTTCTTAATTTTTACCCTAAAGATGCTTGAGCTGTTCTTTTTGTCTTTCCCTCGGTATTAGTCACTCTCTATGTTTGCTGTTGCTATGGCTTTCACGAATACACTTAATGTTCTTGACAAGAAATTTAAATTTTTAGATGTATTGTTACTTTCTGTAAATTTGAAGATAAATTTCTAAGGTATGTACTTCTATAGTTGGTTATTTGATAATTTCCCTTGGATTCAATCAGAATTTGTGAAAGTTTGTCAGTCTTTGGTGATGATTTAGAGTATTGGTGTCTGAGGAAAAGTGTGTTTATATAATTTAAATTATGAAGATATTCTTTGAGATTATGTATCATATTGATATTCTGCTCTTCGGGACCTATTTGACAAAAATTGATTATTCTAGTATGAGAGTTAGTAATTAGGCAATGAGAAGGATAATATTTTTAGAGTTTCCTTTTAGACAATTTTTATTTCATTAATTTATTGTCTTGTAGAATTGAATTCAAGAAATTAATTTATTGTCTTGTAGAATTGAATTTCAAGAAATGTCCAGAAGAGATGGAAGAATCTTGGTTTTGAGTTTGAGAATATGCAAGTCACAAAATTTAAAGAACTTTAGCTTCATTGAACTGAATATGCCCATAGAACTTCCGATCAGACAACGTACTGGGTGTAGATGCTTTTGGGCAAGTTTTTCTTGGGCGTATTGAAAATGCATGGGCCGATTGTGTGAGGGGGTTTAACCAAAGTTCCTTGGTCAGAGGATGGTTGGTCAGTTTTTATGGTTTTCAATTTCTTAATTGGTTTTTCCAGCTATTTATGATAAATTTTTTCTTTTCAAATTCAGGGGTTACTTACTCGGTTGAGGTCCTTAAAATTAGAGGAGTTCATACTTCTCCTCTCATTAAGAGGGAACCCTTGGCAATACAAGATATATTTATGAATGTGAATCCAGTTTCTTCTCATTTACGTTAAATGCATGGCTATACTTTACACCGATAGTAGTGCTCAATCCATAGAAATAGGCCATTGCCCATTGGAATTTAAGGATATCTAAAAGTTCAACAATATTTAGTATCAGTAAAATGATTATATTTTAGACCCCTTTTCCGTGCCCAGTGTGTTAAATTTTTTAAAAGACTTGAAGATGAGCTAAAAATAGTTGAATTGTAGCGTTCTTTTGGACATGAAGGCAGGATCACTATCTTGGAAATAATTGCAGCATTCCTATCTTGTTAAGTTGATGTTACTTGCTTTTGAGGATGACCATCAGCTTTCCGGTTGTTGAGTTTATGCTTATGGCAGCGTTGGAACAGTGGTTATTGGGTTGTGAGTTCCATGTTATCTATTTGTAATTAATACTCGACTACTGCTTTTAGTATGCATAAACATGCTCAAACGTTAAGCGAAATCTTGAATATAGGGGGTCTGGATACATTCTTGGGACATTCGCATGAAAGTTGCTCTCGGTGCTGCAAAAGGGGCTTGCATTTCTTCATAGTGCTGATGTGAATGTCATTCATGGGGACTTTAAGACTTCCTCATATACTGCTTGATTCAGTATGTAATTTACCTACATTACCTGATCAAACTTTTTTTTCACAATATATTTGAATTTAGGACTAACAATTAGTTGAGTATATCTGCATTTGTTGACCTACCTGCTACATTTGCTCCATATTTGTAGAACTTCAATGCAAAGCTTTCTGGTTTTGCTTTAGCTAGGGATGGGCCAACTGATGATGAGAGTTACGTCAGTAGTCCTTTCAGGGGTACTACTGGATATGCTGCACCAGAGCGTCTAACCACAGGTATCATTTTCATTTGTGGCTTCTCGTAACTCTGATTGATATTAGCTTGCTTGATATGCTTCAATTTTCTGGTTCAATGTACTTATTTTTACCATTTTCTCTATGCACTACAAATGTCATGTTTGAGCAATTTATTCTTCACTTGTTTGAGCATTAGAAGTGTTAAACATATCCCTAATCCTAGGAAATATAATCTGAGACTGCGCAAGGCAAAGGGGTGTTAGAGAGGACGAGCACGAGTGAAAGCTTCCGTTGATGGAGAGATATTGTGAGTAAAAACTGCATATCATCGATTCTTTTGAGGCATTACCATTGAAATATTTGCAAGTGAATCCTTTTTTTTTATTTTATGAAGGTTAATGAAGGATCAAAATTTGTCTAAAATTCGCAGGTTATAGTGTAGAGGGTAAAGGATAGTCGGCCTTGTATCAAAACACTCACCATATTAGCAAAATTGCCCACCATTCCTTCACGTTAAAGTTTGTGAGGAGAACAATCAAGTCTAACCTGATCAGAGAAACTTTATTTTTAATAATATATTTGTGTTACTCAACCTCTAAGTCTCACAGCATAGTTCAAAATAGGGTTAATAATATATGTAGTTATTAAGTTTTTTTTTTTTTTTTTTTTTTTTTTTTTTTTTTTTTTTTTTTTTTTTTTTTTTTTTTTTTTTTTTTTTTTTTTTTTTTTTTTTTTTTTTTTTTTAATGGCTAAGTAGGAAAAATTTGGAATTAAGTACTACCTTTGTTCCATAATACTTGTCACGTTTGAAGTTTCAGGTCTCTTAATAAAATCATTAAATCTGTCTAAGTTACAATAAATTATTAAGTAAATTGACTGTATTATCCTTAATTTAATACTAATTCTCTAAAAAGATCATTAAATTGAAGTAATAATTATTGGTCATATACAAAGAGTGAACATAGAAAAAAGTATTTATTACATCTTGAAATCACAAACATGACAAGTATTGACAAGTATTTTAAAACAAACTATTTTTTTAAATGTGATAAGTATTATGGAACAGAGGTAGTATATGAATTAATAATGTTTGCACAATTAAGTGCATTTAGTTTGAATCTTAAAGGAAAATCAAAATGAACTATTACCCTATGATTTTGTTTTATTGATTTTTTTAAGATTATCATATTCCTTCTTCTTATTACTCTCTCTCTATCTCTCTTATATTATTTTGAAATTGAAAGAAAACTGAAAGAAATTTTTTTGACTTTTTTAGAAAGAGATATAAAATAGTAAAAAAAGGAAAAAAAAAAAAAAAAGAGATGGATTAGATGGATTGAATGTTTATGATTGATATCATTTATTAAGTAATAAGATGGTTATTTTAATTTTCCGATAATTCACTTGATTGCTACTTTTGGATAATTCAGACATTTATGATTGCTACTTTTGAATAATTCAGACATTCAATTAGAAATTTTTTTAGTTCAGACATCAAAATAAAAACCATTAAAAAGTTTAAGCACTGCGAGTATAATTAACCTTTCGCAATATTCTCTCCATACTAATACTAATTATGTGGTTGTTAGACCAACTCATTGGGTTGTGGCTCTACTTTGCCTATGGTTTATGCAGTATAATACAACAATAGTTTATGCAGTATAATACAACAATATTGTTGTATTGTATCATGGATTCTGGTCACTTATTAAATTTTGATATTGAACAGGCCGTTTAAATGCAAAGTGTGATGTATACAGCTTTGGAGTTGTACTTCTAGAAATTTTTTCCGGCAGACGAGCTATAGAGAGTACTGGGACACCTGCGCAAGAGTACTTAGTGAAGCGGGTAAACAAATACGGAATTTCCGTAGTTTTAGACAGACGTCTTGACGGTCAACGCTTCTTTCTTAAAAGGGCTCGAAAGTTGGCTAACCTTGCACTTCATTGCTTAAATGATGAGCCGAAGTTCAGACCAGACATGGAAGATGTGGTTATGGCATTAGAGTCGCTTCAAGAATCAAATTAAAGCATGTGTTTATCGGAGCAATGTACAGTTTCTGCTTTGCATTTAGCAATGTACAGTTTCTGCTTTGCATTTTGCTTGTAGTATTTTATCACTTTGTTATTATTGGTATTATGACGATGTTCTAGGCAATAATTTTCCTTTCAGTTAAGGCAGTAAAATTTTTTTACAGTATTCTGTTCATACACTTTACAATTTGAGGTTAATAGTATGTATTTAATACATCATAAAACAAATTTTGAAAAATTAGTTTTCCGCATTTTTCATCTATTTCCCTACAACTTCTTGCAACTTTAGATAAAAAATCAACCAATATGAAGTTTGAATTGAGATACTTCTTCCATTCTCAAATACTTCTTTCCAAATATTTTTCAAGAAAAAAAAATATTTTATTTTTCGAGAAGAAACGGCGAATTAAAATTGTTTTTGTTTTTATTTTTGTTTTCTACCTTTTTGTAGAGCAGAATGGTATGTAATTTAGTAAGGATTGTTGAAAGTGAAAATGTTTCAAGACAAAGGTTGTATGACATGGATATGCTTCTCTTACTTCAATTTTGGCTTCTGTCATCAAATGTTCATGGATATTGGAACCAATCTGCTCATGAATAAACTCAAATGCTCAAAATCTATCTTCAATTTTTCTAACAGTTGAATGCATCAAATTTTTCTCCCATGAAACAATAAAATTACAAAACAAACCCGAATGGGTAGTTCAGTAGCAAAGAACTTTTGCATTAAAAACTCTTGCATGATTGATCATCACGGCTTAGATCATGGATTCAATCTTCCGCAATGCAAACTCTCCCGGACCAGCCCCTTTGTCTCCGAGAGCGATTGGGAATTAATCGTGTTTCTGAACCATTAAAATGGACACGGGACTACATACCTCGTACAAGTATCAAAGGAAAAAAAAAAAATTTCAAAACAAGCACAGAAAATAAAAATAAATTTTACGAATGAGAAAATAACAAAACTACTAAACAAAATGAAACACAACCTTTAAAATGAAACACAACCTTTAAAGAATATGATTAGGCAAAAAGGAAAACAAATCTCAAAATCATATATACAACATATGGAAGAAATTTAAAATTTTTAACAATAGCTTTTTACCACCAATAGAATTATAAAAACCATTTAGTCCAAGAAAATGTGCATTTAGCATAAAGCAGTGGGAAATCAAATAGATTGTTAAATAATCAATTATGTTTCATATAAGCTATTTAAACAATTTAAAATATCTAAATGCCAAAAGTTTATTAAAAGCTCATGCAAAATATTTTTTATTTGAATTTTTATTTTAATAATTTAATTATAATAATCAAGTTAATGAAAAAAAAAAAAGATAAACAGTTGACTGAATAATAACTAACTAAACAAACCTAAAAAAAAATGTGCAATAAAACTCAATGGTGGAAATCAAACGCTAATTAAAACGTCATTAATCCTTAATTCATAAAGTATATAATGCTCATTAAAATAACCCAATTTATATGTTTAAGATTAAAAATTAATTAGATAAAACTTGAACAATTTTTATTTGATTTCTTCCCCTTAAAAGTAAATTGAAATAAAAAGGGATTTCTTTAGTTGATTAAAAAATTGTAAAATCTAAAAAAGAAAGATTATCTAATTGAATGACAACCAAATAAAAAGTTTATTTTAATTAATATTTTAAAAATAGAGGTCTTAATTTGTAAATTTCACCAAACTATAAAAATTAAAAGTAATTTACCCTATACACAGCTTTATGAAAAATTTAATTGATTAAATTCAGTAAAAGAAACTTAAATTATAAAATACTAGCTGTTTTTCTGAGCTTCGCGTGCCAATGTTACATGATGTTTGAAAATAAAAATACTATTTTTATTATAACAAATAAATACTTTTAATAATTCAAGTATCAAATATATTATAATTACTATTTTCCAAAAAAATAAAATAAAAAAATAATATTTTTTCGTAGATTCTTGCAAAAGGATCAATATATTAACATATACATACATAAATCAAGTTTATAATTAATCTTGAATTTTTTATTTTATAATTAATCTTGAATTTTTTATTTTCTAGAAATATTTTAGTAGGTTTTAAAATAATTTTTATAAATGTCAATTATTATTGAATTCATTTTGAATGAATAATTTAAAATATTGGCATAAATCCAATAAAGATTAAAAACATAAAAAAAATTTCATTAAAGTTTGTCCTAATTTGAAATAAGTTAAGAAATACTGTCATCTCCCTTGACAAAAGAAAACATACATATACTTTATAATTTCATCGTCATCACCACATTGATCAAGTTCAAATTTATTAGATGTGATGAAAATAGTCTTGTGTTGTTTGCAAGTAATTTTTCTTGTTTAGAGAATTTTAAATTTTTTCTTTATTTTTTTGTCTTTTGATTGGTTGTTTCAATTTAGTATGTAGTATATGATACCGATAATTATTAACTTTTTTAAAATCTAATTTAATCTAATTATATAACCTACTCAAATTTTATCGTCTAACCTGATCTAACTTTAATTTTTAAATATTTTGAGTTGTTTTAACTTTTAAATACGGATTTTTTTATTAAATTTAATTTTAATGGTTTTTCTAATCTATATTTGCAGAGGGAACAATTAGTTAAAGGGAACATGCAACTTTTCTATGTGGATCAGCAGCGTGCGGTGTATCTCTCATCCCTCAGAAATATGAACTATCCACGATTTTTTTTGTTGCATATTTTGACTAACGAGGGTTATTATTTCTCTTTGTTTGAACAGGTTCCAGGAGATGAACAGGTTATTAATGTGTAAGTGCTACATAATTTACAAAGAATGATGCCTTTTTATGATATTCATATGGTTAATTTGTGATTGTTGTTTCACGTCACACGGTATCTCTATGGTTGTTGTCAGGAACTAGAAGATCCTCCCATTTTGATATATATATATATATATATTATATTATAATAATATATATATATATATATATATATACTTTTATTTTTAGATTTATTCTTAAATTTTAAATAAATATACATAGATAATTAAGTACATTGACCATAAAAAATTACATTCAATACTACATAAATGATTCTTTTTCTCTTTTTCTCTCTCAATTAAGTAAAATATCTCTCAATTAAAATTTTAATCATGGGATATTAATTTAATGTACATGTTTTTATGTGAAAAATGAAGTGTTTAATTAAAATTTTTCGTTTATCAAATGACTAACAATTTATCTAACAAGAGGACATTTACGTTGAAGGATTCCCATTAAACATATTTAATTATTTTTACAAAGGCTTTTATAATAATTTGGTAATGTATGATAGTAAAACCAAGGATTCCGGAATAATTAATATAAACTGCAAGATGAAGTCATATATTTTGACTTAAAATAATTTTTCCAAATAATAAATGAAAGTTAAAAGACAATTCCCATAAAGTTCACATCACATGTGGCTCATTTGGACATTTTAATTTTTTTTTTTTTTTGTCCTCATAATCTGTCACGTGTGGAAAAAAAGTGAGCCCTACTATTGTATATTCAATTTTAATTGCAAATTTTAAACTGTCCATGCCTCGATTGCTAGCGTTTTTCACTTATGCACTAAAGATATAATTATATCTATACTTAAATACAAATATAGCCAGTAAAACCAAGTAAGATTCACTTGATTTTTCTCGAAGGTATGACAGCAAGCACCCTGAACTAAAGTATTGACGGCCGACTCCTTGTTGTTATTGGGCAACTGATCATCGCGAAACAGCAAGTCCGCCTCCAGTGAGTTGCTCAAAGTAGTTTTTTTAACCTTTCTTTTTCTTGTTATAATATTTGCTGCCAAATTTTAAGAAAGAAAAAGGGATTTCTTGGAACTAGATTGCTCTTTTTCTTTGTTCGATTTTTTATTTTTTAATTTTTGGGTTTTAGAATTTCTGCGGAGAGGAGTTGAGGTGTCTGATTGAATGGGACTTTGTGTTAGCAACGGAATCAAGGGTTCTAATCGTAGCACAGGTACCCATTTATTCTTTTATGTTGTAGTGCTTAAGTTTTTATGTGTTTTCACAATTAGCTGTTACTGGTTTTCCTTAATTGAGATTGAAATCAGTCGCCTTTTTCTTAATTTTTACCCTAAAGATGCTTCTTTTTGTCTTTTCCCCGGTATTAGTCACTCTAAATGTTTGCTGTTGCTATGGCTTTCACGAATACACTTAATGTTCTTGACAAGAAATTTAAATTTTTAGATGTATTTTTACTTTTTGTAAATTTCAAGATAAATTTCTAAGGTATGTATTTCTATGGTTGATTATTTGATAATTTTCCTTGGATTCAATCAGAATTTGTGAAAATTTGTCAGTCTTTGGTGATGATTTGGAGTATTGGTGTCTGAGGAAAAGTGTGTTTATATAATTTAAATTATGAAGATATTCTTTGAGATTATGTATCATATTGATATTCTGCTCTTCAGTACCTATTTGACAAAAATTGATTATTCTAGCATGAGAGTTAGTAATTAGGCAATGAGAAGGATAATATTTTTAGAGAGATTATGTTATCATTATTGATATTCTGCTCTTCAGTACCTATTTGACAAAAATTGATTATTCTAAGCATGAGAAGTTAGTATTAGGCAATGAAGAAAAGGATAATATTTTTAGAGTTTCCTTTAGAAGGATAATATTTTTAGAGTTTCCTTTTAAACAATTTTTATTTCATTAATTTATTGTCTTGTAGAATTGAATTCAAGAAATGTCGGAAGAGATGGGAAGAATCTTGGTTTTGATTTTGAGATATTGCAGTCACCAAATTTAAGGAACTTTAGCTTTAGTGAACTGAAGACCGCCACTTCAAACTTCGAATCAACAAATGTAAGGAGTAGATATGGTTCTGGGTTAGTTTTCAAAGGGTGGATTGATGGCATGGACATTGCTGTGAAGAGGCTTAACCATGAAAGCTTCCTTGGTCAGCAGGATTCGTTGGTCAGTTTTATGGTTTCAATTTCTTAATTGTTTTTTCCAGCTATTTATGATAAATTTTTACTTTCAATTCAGGGGCCTATTTATTCGGTTGAGGTCCTTAATTAGAGGGAGTTCATACTTCTCTCACAATTAGGGGAATTTGGCAATACAAGATTTATATGAAATGTGAATCCAGTTCTTCCCATGTACTTTAAATGCCTTGCTATCTTTGCACCGGTAGGAGTGCTCAATTCATAGAAATAGCCATTGCCCATTAGGAATTTAGGATATCTAAAAAGTTCATAATATTTAGTATAAGTGAAATGATTATATTTTTGACCCTTTTTCATGCCTAGTGTGTTTAAATTTTAAAAGATTGAGATGAGCTAAAAATAGTTGACTGTAGTGTTCTTTGGACATGAAGGCAGAGATCAACTATCTTGAAAAATTGCAGCATCCCAATCTTGTTAAGTTGATTGGTTACTGCTTTGAGGATGACCTTCGGCTTTTGGTTTGTGAGTTTATGCCTTGTGGCAGCTTGGAAAAGCATTTATTCGAGAGTGAGTTCCATGTTATCTTATTTGTATTAACTTGACTACTGCTTTTTGTTTATGCATAATCATGCTCAAACGTTAAGCGAATCTTGATATAGTGGGGTCTGCGCCACTTTCTTGGGACATGCGCATGAAAGTTGCTCTTGGTGCTGCAAAGGGGCTTGCATTTCTTCATAGTGCTAATGTGAATCTCATTCATGGGGACTTTAAGGCTTCTCATATACTGCTTGATTCAGTATGTAATTTACCTACATTACCTGATCACTTTTTTCACAATATACTTGTCACATTTGAAGTTTCACGTCCCTTAAGAAAATCATTAAATTTGTCCAAGTTACAATAAATTATTGAGTAAATTGACTCTATTATCTTTAATTTAATACTAATTTTCTAAAAAATCCATTAAATTGAAGTAATAATTATTGGTCATATATAAAGGGTAAACATGAAAAAAAGCATTTACTACACCTTGAAATCACCAATGTGACAAGTATTTTGGAATAAATTATTTTTTTAAATGTGATAAGTATTATAGAATGAAGTTAGTATATGAATTAATAATTTTTGTACAATTAAGTGCATTTAGTCGGAATCTTACTGGAAAATCAAAATGAACTATCTACCCTATCATTTTGCTTTATTATTTATTTTAGATTATCATATTCATTTTTCTTATTACTCTATCTCTCTCTTATATTATTTTGAAATTAAAAGAAAATTGGAAGAAATTTTTTGACTTTTTTAGAAAGAGATATAAAACAGTAAAAAAAGGGGGAAAAAAAAAAGGAGATGGATTGGATGTTTATGATTGATATCATTTATTAAGTAATAAGATGGTTTATTTTAATTTTCCAATAAACTAATCCGACCAAATGCACTTGACTGCTACTTTTGAATAATTTAGACATTCAATTAGAAATTTTTTTAGTTCAGACATCAAAATAAAAACCATTAAAAAGTTTAAGCACTGCAAGTATAATTAACCTTTCCCAATATTCTCTCCATACTAATACTAATTATGTGGTTGTTAGACCAACTTATTGGTTTGTGGCTGTACTTTGCCTATGGTTTATGCAGTATAATACAACAGTATTGTTGTATTGTATCATGGAATATGGTCACTTATTAAATTTTGATATTGAACAGACCGTTTAAATGCAAAGTGCGATGTATACAGGGTCACTTATTAAATTTTGATATTGAACAGACCGTTTAAATGCAAAGTGCGATGTATACAGCTTTGGAGTTGTACTTCTAGAAATTTTATCCGGCAGACGAGCTCTGGACCCGAATATGCCACCTGAGCCAGGGTTCATAGTGGAGTGGGCAAAGCGTTACCTGACAAACAAACGCACAGTTTTCGAAGTTTTTGACACACGTCTTGACAGCCAACACTTTCTTAAAAGGGCTCGAAAGTTGGCTAACCTTGCACTTCATTGCTTAAATGATGAGCCGAAGTGGAGACCAGACATGGAAGATGTGGTTATGGCATTAGAGTCGCTTCAAGAATCAAATTAAAGCATGTGTTTATCGGAGCAACGTACAGTTTCTGCTTTGCATTTTGCTTGTAGTATTTTATCACTTTGTTATTATTGGCATTATGATGATGTTCTAGGCAATAATTTTCCTTTCAGTTGAGGCAGTAAAATTTTCTTCTGTTCATATACTTTACAATTTGAGGATTTAATACTGTAAATTTACATGCTGTAATCAAAGTTGAAAGTAGTTGATTCTTTGTGGATAATGAAAGTGAAGCACTAGCAACTCTCATTCTAAACAAGCTTCGTGCCGGAATAAAGGTATTATTGCATTTATCTCATATACAACAGTTATATATGTGTGTGTATATATATATATATTGTATAATATATAATATATATATATAATATATATATATATTTGAGACAGAACCAGTTATGTTTAAGAGTCCATATGTTTAACAATAATTCCGGTTACAATAATTCGGTAATGTATGATAGTAATATAGATGATAGTGTTACATAAATTGCCAATACTTTTATAATCTTAGGTGGATTAAAAATTAATTCATGAATTGACAAAAGTGTCATATGGTAAGTTGGAGATAATATTTTGACATGATCGTAACTTTTTACAACTGTATTTTATTTTAATTAAATTTTTTCTAATTAATAAGATAAAAACTATTTTTTATTTTTTTCCTTTCTTTTTTAAGGTAATTTATTATTAATTTAATATTTAATATTTTATGCAATTTTTGTATTTTAGGTCAACGAGAAAGCAACGGTGTCATCCATATATGAAGCTTAAAAATATAATCTAAACAGTTTTAATAATTACTTCATCGAAGTTTTAGCGGTTAGAAAAATACAATAATACAAAGAATTTTGGGTAACTTTCCATATTATCAAATAATAAATATAATTACTTTCTTTCTTTTTAACTTTTTTTCATTTCTTCAATGTTGTTTTCGACTTATTTTCTGGTTTTGGCAAAAAAAAAAAAAATTGTTCAAAAGAAAAAAAAAATCTAAGTCTTATTTCAATATTATTTTTTTAAACTTCAATTTATTAATTTATAAAGTCTTATTTCAATATTATTTTTTTAAACTTCAATTTATTAATTTATAAGTAAATAATATAAAAGTATAGTAAATATATCAATAATCAATTTAAGTTATAGATTTATAATGTTGTATTATTGTAAACAGTGACATACTTTTTTTTTATTATTATTACAAATCACTTTAATATCTACCATTGTTGAATTATACTAAATAGAATTTTGATTGTTCTTCCTAAAATTTTATAATTCATAATAATTTACTAAACATAATAATATAATCAATTACAAAAATTAATAGAATAATATTTAAATATCCACAGACGAAGTCCAGTTTTTCAGACTAGTTTGATATCAAACTTAACATACGAGGTAATCTTGCATCGTAGATTAGGAACGATCAATATTCACCTCTCATTAGAATCCCGATTCTTTGAACCAGGATCCAAACCAGATGACAAAGTCCCAGTTGATAGAGTCTATAACATTAATATTAATCCAAGAAAATCAATGGTCGGGCCTTCTCCCTGAGTGTTGCTCGTCTTCATTACTGACACCGCCTTCTTCTATAGGCATCCCAGACCAATAAATCAGGCATAGACTCATGAATATCTAACCACTTTTCAACACAACCCGAATGAAACTCATGTTTACACGACATCTCCTGAATCTGGCCGCTGATACTCATCTCATCCAAACAAATTGGCAGTCCTCAACGTAATCTTTAGCCACTATTATTCTTGACATTGCGTTTATTGACTCTTTCAACGCTGATAATATCAAGTTTGTCGGCCTCAATCGATAATTGGAAAAGGGTGACAAAATTGATCGGTTACTTAAAGATAGCGATTTGAGGATGGGTTGAGGCTTCTTGGTTCAGTAAGCAAAATGATATACCATCCGCACTGAGCAAAATGATTTTTGAATATTAATTTTTATGGCTGGATTGGAGATTGGAGATTGGAGATTTACGGGTAGATTATTTAGGAGATTTGGTTGTTACTCAAAATATCTATAATGCACAGACACTTTAAAAGGTTTAGCATATTAGTGTCGTATTTATGACGGACATGACACTTCGGACAACTATTTTATTTTAATTTTATTAATTTAAGAGACTTCAAAGATACTTTAAGATACTTGTAAAAATTTTATAAAACTTTTAGATAAATTTAATAACAAAACAATTCAAATTGAGTCATAAATATAAATTAGATAAATATATATATACTTAAAATAAAAAATTACGATATATATAAGATGAAAAAACCTTAAATCATTATGTAGCGTTTATAATTTTATTGCCAAATTTAAAAATTAGATTTTTTTCATGGTAATTTTTGACTTCTATTAAGAAAAACCTATAATATTATATTGAATAAACAAAAATATAGAACATTGCAAGAGATTAATTCGAATATTTTGAATGTGTTGGAATTTTTGAAACTGTCAATTTATCTTTAGATGAGTGAGATGGAGACGATAATATTTAACGATGATGTGGATTTAATTAATGACGTTGAAGTAAAAAATTAATTTTTTATTATTTTATATTGAATAATTATTTACATATTTAATTTTTTAATAAATATTTAATTTTTTAATAAATATATTTAATTTTTTAATAAATTATATATTTTTAATATAACTTGTCCTAAATATATTGTCCTATTTTTTTTAAAATTACCGTATTTTGTGTACGTGTCATATCGTGTCCCATCTGAGTCCATGCAACCTAGCAAAATAATAAGGGTAAATTATTTTCGGGTCTATAAACTTTTACAAATTACATGACTTCCTCCTCTCTATTTATAATAATTATTCTGGAGTCCCGAATGTCTCCATCTAAATTTTTAGCCTTTCCATTAAAAAAATTAATTTTACATAAAAATACCTAAATACCCTTGAAATGTCATACAAATGCCACCCAACAAAAGTCAACCACAGTAAAAATATTAACATAGAAACAAAAACAAATCCAAACTCATACTAAAACCCAAATAAAAATTATTTAAAATATAAATAAAAGGACTAAAGATGATTTAAAATGAAAAATTTTTTTGCCTCCTCTAGCAAATCACCACCGCCAGCAACACCAAGAGCTTCAATCGCTGCAAGCAAACAAAATTCGCCTTTCACCTGCCTCTGCTTCTTCTTCTCTATAATTTCATGAAGTTCTGGGTCTCCCAAAGGAAGTGGTTGGTGTTATAAATTAATCTCAAATAATTCCACAATAACCTAGATCGTGCAAACCACTCTAGATTCAACAAAATAGATTTGAATAAGAAAAGGTTGGCGTACCTGACTCGTTGTTCGTCGATCTTGAATGTATAGAATTAGGTTTGCAGCCTTCTAGAGAATTGAAGAATCGATTTAGCGGAAGCAGTACGAAAAGGAAAGTAAAACTAAAATCGTATTCCAACCTTTGGGGACCACGACCTTCATATACCTGTAGCGTAGTAAGTTAGTACAATTCCTATTTCGGTCCTTTAAAGAAATAGGAATTATATAATGGTCTCTACACTTAATATCTATAATTAGTTGATACCTCAATAGTCAATTATTCACAATCAAGACCGCATTTAAAATTGACTTTATAATTAGACTGCTGTACATATTTAATTTTACATATTAAGCCCACAATAGAAAATTAAATCCAACAATCTCCCACTTGGGCGACATTATGTTAAATAAAATACATACACCAAAATGAGCTCAACAAACGCAGTCATACAAGGTATCCAAAAACAATCTCGTCCATTAATTATATTGATAAAGAACTGAAGAAACATTCGCCATAGATCTCATGACAGAATCTCATGACTTAAGTTCATCATTAACCTACAATTACCATACCACCCTAAATGACATATGATTCATTAGAGAAGTGGTAAGCATGAAAACTACATGCAATGTGGATCATCATGTCTGTTTCCAACTGGCACCACAAAAGTTGAGATCAAGCAAAAACAATAATAGATACAAACAATAATAATAATACAGAGTGTAACCATCAACCAAAATGAGTACTCAACAAAATTTCATGATAAAACATATCCAAAACAAAATAGAGCATTCAAAACCATAATGTATACATAAAGAGCAGACTCCCACTAAAACTAGACAGTCTCAAACAAAACGATACCCATATGAGCGGTGTGCTCATGGAAAACTTTCGGTATCACTAAAACTTTCGGTATCACTGCCTTTGTAAGCGGATCCGCAATCATAGAGTTTGTTCCAATATGCTCTAAGGATATCTGTCCACTCTGTACCCTCTCCTTCGTAGCCAAGAACTTAATGTCAATGTGTTTTGATCGAGAAGAGCTCCTGTTGTTGTTGGAGAATAAAACGACTGACCTGCTGTCACAATACAACTTCAGTGGTCTTTCTATTCCACCTACTACACGCAGCCCAGTGACAAGGTTTCTCAACCAAATAGCTTGATTGGATGCCTCATAAGATGCTACAACATGGTGGAGGTTGCCACTAGAGTTTGTTTCACACTCTTCCAAGAAATAGCACCACCAGCCAATAGAAAAACATAGCCAGATGTGGATTTTCTTCTGTCTTGGCATCCAACGAAATCAGAATCAGTATCCAGCGAAATCAGAATCAGTATACCCAATGATCTCAAGCTGATCTGATCTCCTATATGTGAGCATATGTCCCTTAGTCCTCTGAAGATATCTCATGGCTCTTTTGGCTGCTTTCCAATGATCCATTCCTAGATTGCTGAGATATCTACCTAACATGCCAACTATAAAAGAAATGTCTGGACGAGTACAAACTTTAACATACATAAGACTTCCTATAGCTGACGTATAAGGAACCTTTTGCATTTCCTAAATTTCAAGTTCACTCTTTGGACATTGTTGATTACTAAATTTATCACCTTTTGCAATAGGGGTATCCAATGGTCTGAATTCTGCATACTAAAATCTCTTGAGCAACTTTAATCAATATTAAGCTCTTTGTGATAATCCAAGAATACCTGAGAACGGTCTCGATGTAATCTGAATCCATAAAACAAAAGAAGCTCACACCTAGAATTTTTCATCTCAAAATGCTTTAAAAGGACAACCTTTGGTTTCATGCAGCAAGACTTTACAAATTAAGTAGCAAGAAGTATGTCCATTCCACAATATAAGACCAAAAAAGATAAACCTACTCCCACTGAACTTATGGTAAACATGCACAATTTCAACAGCATTTGCCTCAATACATTTGCCTCAAAGCCAAACGAGACAATTACTTAGTTGAACTTAAAGTACCATTGACGAGAAGCTCGCTTGAGTCCATAAATGGATTTCTTTAATTTGCATACCAGATGTTTTGGATCTCCAATTACAAAATTTTCTGGTTGCACCATATATATTGTTTCATCAATGTTGCCATTGAGAAACGTAGTCTTAACATCTATTTGATGAAGCTCAAGATCAAGATTTGCAACTAAGTCCATGATTGTCCTAAAAGAATCCTTCGAAGAAACTGGAGAGAAGGTTTCTTTATAGTCAGTCCCTTCCTTTTGAGTAAAGCCTTTTGCTACAAGACGTGCGTTATATCTTTCCACATTACCTTGAGAATCCCTTTTGGTTTTAAATATCCATTTGCAACCAATGGGTTTCTTTCCTTCAGGTAATTGAACAAGATCCCATGAAACAAGATCCCAAACTTGATTGTCATAGACTTATACTCTTCGTTCATTGCCTCAATCCACTTATGAGAGTTAGAACTCTGCATGGCATGATAGAAACTAACTGGATCATCATCTATCATGTTCTACAGTATCCTCATGTTCCTGAAGAAACACTATATAATCATCTGGAATACACTTCTTCTCTCCCTAGTAGATCTCCTCAAAGGCATTTGAACAGACTCTAATTCTTGAGGTTGTTGAATTTGTTCTTAAGGAAGAATAGCATTGTCTGGAATTGGATCTTGAATAGTGACAGGAGCAACTGGAGTCTGTACGCTATCAGAAACAACAAAAGGAATGAGAACCGAATCATCCTTACTTGGTTCCTCTTTAAAGACAATGTTTCTTTCTTTATTTCTCCCTCCAAAATCAACATCCTCAAAAAATGTTGCAATTCTCGTTTCAAAAAAAAGTTCTGGAAGTAGGATTATAAATACAAACTTGAACCCCTAGACCGCTCAGAATATCCACACAAAGTAGCTGCTGATAGGTTTTGGAGTCCAAGTTTTGTTTCATTCGGCTTGTAAAGCTTGCTTCATGCTGGACATCCCCAAACATGAAGATGCTTTAGACTAGGCTTTAACGTCTAGTCCAAAAGTTCATAAAGGTGTTTTAAGCAACTGCTTTTAGATGGAATCCATCGAGAAGATAAGTTGCTGTCTTTAAACGCTTCACCCCACAGAGACTCTGGGTAAAGTAGAAATGACTAATCATACCCTACCATATCCATAAGAGTCCTATTACGTCTCTCAGATACACCATTCATGCTGGGAGTACCAGGCATTGTATATCAATTCCACATTCCTGTAGGAAAAGCGCAAAAGGTCCTGGACGTTGTTCGCCTGAACCGTCATATTTACCATAATATTCACCACCACGGTCAGATCGAAAAGATTTAATCTTCTTTCCTAGTTGATTTTCAACTTCAGCTTTATAAGATTTGAACACTTCCAAAGACTCAGATTTTTCATGAATGAGATATAAGTAACTATAACGAGAATAGTCATCAATGAATGATATAAAATATCTTTGGCCATTTCTAGCTGCTATCTTTGGCCATTTCTAGCTGCAATATGGAATGGACCGCAAATATCTGTATGAATCAGTTCTAAAACATTGGATGACCGAATGGCACCTAGTCTCTTCTGTTTAGTCTGTTTTCCTTTAATACACTCAATACAAGAATCCAAACCTGTGTAATCAAGTGTATCTAAGATACCATCAGAAACAAGACGCTCAATCCTTGATTTGGATACATGACCCAAACGTCTATGCCAAAGTACAACTGAGTTATCAATATTCAATTTTCTTTTGGTACCTCTTGTAGTAACATGCAGGGATTCATGATAACTAGTATCAATGTCTAACATATATAGATTATCACATTCATTCAAGCAACCAACCATACCCAAAAACTTTTGAATCATAGATAAAGCTGTCTCCAAAAGAACAATGAAAACCAGATTTGTCCAAAAAGGAAACAGAAATCAAATTCCTTCTAAAAGAGGGAATAACAAAAGTATCTATGAGATCCAAAAAATAACCAGTACTTAAACATAATCTAAAATGTCCAATTGCCTCTACTTCAACCGGATTGCCATTTCCCACATAGACGTATTTTTCACCGTCAGTTGGCTTTCTGTGGTTGAGGCAGCCCTGCAATGAAACACTTATATGAGCGGTAGCACCAGAATCCATCCAATAAGTGTTTTTAGGAGCTGAAGTTAAATTAACTTCACAACGTCTTTCCACAAAAGAAGCATTTTGGCACATAAGGCTTCTTTTGTACTGGATCTACAGCAGTAGCAACAGCAGGTTTCTCAATAGCCTTTTCAACAGTCTTTGCAGAAGGCCTCTTTCTTTTCTTGTTCTTGCCCTTCTCAGCTGAAGAAACAAAATGAGCACTCTCTCTTTTGTTAGAATTCATCTCCTCCTCATCAACACAATGAGAAATGAGCTCGTTAAGAGTCCATTTATTCGGCTGACAATTATAGGAAGTCCTAATTTGTCCATACTGAGAAGGAAGAGAATTCATAACCAAATGGACTAAAAGGTCATCTGGTAAAGCCATACCCAGCACCTTCAGTCTCTTTGCAATCTGAGACATGCTAAGAATATGCTCCCGAGCACCACCATTGCCAGCAAACTTCATGGAGGTTAATTTTCCTAAAAGTGTTCTCACTTCGGCTTTGTCATTCTTGACATATTCGGCTTTGTCATTCTTGACATAAGCCCTCTCCAGCTCGGCAAGATAGTTTTGAGCATTGTTCTTTTCAGCTGAGACAGAGTCTCGAACATGTTCTGGTACTCCTTTCTGCATGATCATCAGACCTAAGCGATTAGAACGCTCCCGCTTCTCATACTGAACCCTTTGAACATCAGTGCTCGTAGCAGTAAGAAAGAGGAGCAGGTTCGTCCATCCTGAATGCAAGATCCAAATCCATACAGCCCAGAAAGATCATAATGTCTGATTTCCAAGACTCAAAATTTGATCCCTTAAGTTTAGGGACACAATCAGGATTAAATGACATGTTAGCTGACATCAGAGAAAATAAACAAATAGATAAGTATAAGCTCACAATTCACAAATGAAACAATTCACATAAGTAGAGATAAAAATGGAAATAAGATACAGACTCAACATTAATATTCTCATCTTTGGATGTAAAATATTCACTTGTAATTAGTATCTCAACGCAGCAATCAAATATTGATAACATAGTCCTGACAAATAATAAATCTTCCTTTGGACCGATATATCATTGTCATGGAAAATAATCAAACAATTATCACATACTTATTGAATCAAACAATCTATCACATATTTAATTGCCAAACATGTATTCACAAAAAACTCAGCCAGATAGCAAACTTCCTTTGGGCCGATTAACTATCCGCAACGAATTTCTAATAAGCACCTGTCTAATATTCTATAAAATAAATCAATTCAAGCAATAGAGGTCACTTTTGGGTGACTTATTGATCAAATCAATTTATTTTAACAAATATTAAACACAATAGGGACTTAATCACTCCAAAATTTAATCTCAAGTCGACAAATTAATTCATATTGTAATTAAAACAAAACAATTGCAATTAAATGAATTGAATGTCTAAATATTTAATAATCTAAAATTATTTAGCCCAAATATATATATATATATAAGTCACTAAATTAGAGACTAAGTTATAAAATTGGACTAAATAAATAAAGTTCGGGGTCTAATTTAATTAAATATATGTCCATAGGTCTAGACGAAAGAAAACAGGAAATTAGGGGCCTAATCTAAAGTTACAGAAAATTAGGGGCCTAATTTGAAATTACAGAAAAACAGAAAATTAGGGGCCTAATATGAAGTTACAGAAACTTAGGGGCCTAATCTGAAGTTACAGAAAATTATGGGGCCTAATCTGAAGTTAAAGAAAATTAGGAGCCTAATAAAAAAAAATAGAAAATTAGGGACCTATTACGAAAAAACAGAAAATTAGGGACCTAATACGAAAAAATAGAAAATTAGGGACCTAATCTAAAATTTTCCAGGGACCTAACCGTTATTTTCCATCCCTAACCTTAAAAACAAAAACGATAAGGGACGGAAAATAATAGGTTCAGCCCCTTTCCGCCGCCAACAATTTTTTTTTAAACAAGATCCAGCCAGCAAAGAAAAAAAAAAAAAACAAAATACCAAAAAAAAAAAAAAAAAAACAAAATACCAAACGAACAATTAATCGTCAATAGCGTTAGTTCAAAACCTCTTACCTGTTCTTCGGATTCTCCAAGAGCAGTGAGAACAAACAAAAAAAAAAATTTTTTTTTTTTATTAAACAAAACCCTCAATCCGTAAACAGTAGGGAAAACAAAAAAAAATATATATACGAAAATCAATCTAAAATCGAGCAATTATGCACAAGGCTCTGATACCACTTGTTACGAATTAATCTCAAATAATTCCATAATAACCCAGATCATGCAAACTACTAGATTCAACAAAATAGATTGAATAAAAAAAGGTTGCGTACCTGACAGAAAAGGTTGCGTAACCTGACTAATCGTGTTCGTCGATTCTTGAATGTATAAATTAGGTTTGCAGCCTTCCAGAGAATTGAAGAATCGGATTTTAGCGGAAAAGCAATACGAAAGGAACGTAAAAACTGAATCGTATTCAACTCCTCTGGGGAACCACGACCTTTTATATCCTGTAGGGTTAAGTACAATTCTATTTCGGTCTTTAACCGAATAGGAATTATATAATGGTCTCTACACTTAATATCTAAATTAGTTTGATACTCAAATAGTCAATATTCCACAATCAAGACCACATTTAAGAATTTGGACTTTACAAAATTGTGAACTGCTGTACATATACAATCAAGACCACATTTAAAATTGACTTTACAATTGGACTGCTGTACATATTTAATTTTACATATTAAGCCCACAATAGAAAATTAAATCCAACATCAAATGCATATGCAAGTCATGGCACTCTTTGATCTCTAATAAAACTCAATTTGCCAAAATCCACCTTCAACATGCAAAGCAGGACACCAATGTCAACCGCCACAAGCTCTTTCTCTTCACTCTTCCTCCGAGATCTATAGATCACGAAGCATACTGTAATAATCCCGATGGTGATATTGTAACAAGAGAGCTGAGTCTTCGAACGAGAGAGCTGACTCCAGACAGCGATGTCCAATTTGTGGAATCATGTAATGGCTTGATTTGTATTGCTTTTGACTCTAAAATGATTGTGTGGAATTCATCTACTGGAGAGTCAAAGGATTTGCCTTCGACGATTTCGTTTCCAGATGATAACCTTTTTTTTGATTCCGATATGATTCGCGCCTTGATGATTATAAGATAGTAGGAGGAGTTCATTCTGGTTTGCGGAAGTTGAAATGGAGGTCTTGTCCTTAAAAGGAAACACATGGAGAACAATCCAAGTGTTAGCTCCTACAATTGTTTCACTGCAGGGCGAAGCAACTTCTCTTAACCACAAGGTTTTGCATTGGCCAAGTGAAGTAATGATCCATACAAAAAGTCTGTAATTGTTTCATTTGATTTGGCAAAGGAGAAATTCATGGAGATGACACCAATGCCAGATTATATTCCCCAAAAAATGGGGATATATTTAAAGGTTCTAGGAGGTTGCCTCTGTGTATGTGCTACTACTTATACATTATACTGTGAGGCATGGACAGTGGAGGGAAATGGAACCAGAGCTTCTTGGACTAGACTGTTCAAATTTAGCAGTGACCCATTATCTGGATGTAAATATTGGCTTGAGGTATTATGGGTTTCAAAGAATGGTAATGTTCTATTCAATCTTGATGGATGGGAATTAGTTTTATATAATCCTGAAGAGCAGACTTTAAAACAGTATAGAGTACCTAATGATGGAGACTGGTTTTTGGCGACTACTTACATGAAAACTCTTGTTTCCCCTAATGCTCCTGAAGGCTCAATAATGGAATAAAGCATGTTATACCCTTTCCTTTGTGTTCGAGTGCCTTGTTGGTTTTTATTTTACATTGCAAGCAAATGAATTTACTATAATATAGTGGTTTGCGTATCCATTAGTCAATAGTCATCTGTTGAGTATTTGCTCCGTATTGTCAATAATTCATTGAAATATATTTGTCAAATCATAATAAATTTACCATTATTTTTTGCCAAAAATTTGTATCGCTTTCAACTTCTATTTTAATCTATTAACACTTTAACTTATAAAAGTTCATATCTCTATTTATAGAACCATTCTATTAAAAAATTCTAATTTTAGAAATATAATAGATCCTTGCGAAATTAGAGCTATATAGTTTTTAAAGAAAATCACAGGGTTGAATTTATACCTCTGGCCTAAAATAATTTAATGTATGTGTTTGGTGTAAATACAAATCGGTCTTGTAAGTCTACCTTCTATTAGGCCGCTAAAATGGGTCATGGTGGATCGTTAACCAGAAATGGGCCGCTAAAGTGGCCTAGTTATTTCCTGGACTTTAATCTCATCGCTATCTAGATCACTCTAGCAGTTCCTAGAGACCTCAGACTCAAAATTCTAATGTTGACATCCTTACCATCTACCACCACGCACCACCACAACGCTTCAGGCTCTGATTCACGCGCTAAGGCATCAGCATTTTTTCCTGTGAATTTTCTGACCATTCAAGATACCAGCTAGGGTTATAAATAAGTCGAATTGAACTCAAACCTGTTAGGTTTAAAACTCAGTTCGATAGATTTATTTCAGCTTGAAACTTGACGAGTTTAAAAATTTTATGTTTGAGGCTCGAGTAAGCCTAAACTAAATATTATATATGTGTATATAAAAGCTTGACAAGGCTCGATGAGCTTTCAAGGGAAACATCATTAGGCTTGATTTTGACTCTTTTACTAAGCAAGCTGGTTGGAGCTCGAGTTTGAGATTTATTGAGCCAAATATTTTGAATTTTTTGAGCCAAGCTTGAACAATTTGCAAGCTGGCTTGGCTCAATACTAGTAGAGCCATCATCTTCAGGTAATCACTCCTACCCCTTTCTACAAGAAAATTAGTATTTACCGATAAAATATATTGAAAAAAAGTTTTTGTCGATATTTAGCGAAAGATTACTAACAATTTAACTCTAAAATAAAAAAGATTAGTGACAAATTACCATCAAATTACCGATAAAATTGAATTTTGTCGCTAATAAGGGCGCCTAATATTGGCGCCTAATTTTCCAAAAAATCAGTAACAAATTAGCAATAAAATTTAGTGACAAATATGAATTTTGCCAGTACAACTCGTGCCATAAATATGCCTGTATTTTCAAAGTTTACCATCAAATTATCGACAAATTAGTGATAAATTACCGATGAAATACTAACAAATTAGCAACAAATCTTTAAAAGTTTTAAAATTTTAGGCGAAAAATAATGAAATTTAGCAACAAATTACCAACAAATTAGTGATAATTATCTATAAAATATTTTTGTCGCTAATTTGTTGGTATTTAACGACATAATAGTGACAAAATTTGAAAAATTAAAACTTTACGCAAGATGAATTTTATCATCAAAAATTTTGTTTCTAAATGCCGAAATTTTATTTTTAAATACCAATTCTCTTCCTTTCTCTCATTCACTTTCTTCTTCCATTACTCCTTTTTCCTTCTTCTTCTTCCTTTTCTTCTACCACTCTACTTTTCTTTCTCCTTTTTTTCTTTCTTTCTTTTTTTCCTTCTTCTTCTTCTCTTTTTTTTCTTTTATTTTTACTTTTTTGTGCTTTTTTTTATTAATTTTTCTTTATTTATTTTAGCTATCAAAGTTTAATTAATATAATTATTAAAATAAAAATATATTTAGTTTATTATTTAAAATCAATAATAAAAAATTGTGACGAATTAACCAAATATCTTAACAATAATTACCTCACAAATCATTTTTTTTTTTATTAATATAATTAATTATATTTAAATTAGGATGACGAAAATCATACAATACAAATTAACAATAAAAATTTAAATATTTTATTAAATTTTTTCATAATTTAATTCATGCAGACCCAATAATTTGACATAACAGCGATAAAATAGCATAAAATACGAATATAAAATAGCGACTAATCAATTTTTATCCAGAAATAAACATATATTATCTAATTTTGGTACTAACAACCACAAATTCTACAACTGCGGGGTAGCGATAAAAGAAAAAATAAGAGTTATCAAACAATTATATCATAGATCGTCTTGACATATACATAGCCTTTTTACCGATAAAAATTTTTTTGTCACTATTTTTATAATTGCACAAGGGTTTTTTACACCAATAAAAAGATTTTTTTAATTGGTAACTAACTTAAGATTTATGCGACAACAAAATAAGAAAATTATGAACTCATAAAATTTTTTTTGATGGGTGAGATTACTCTTTTTTTCATTACTTAGTGAAACATGCTAGGAAGAGAACAAGTCAAAAACATCTTTTCATTTTAACAACGCGCCATAGATACTCTATAAAAGCATGCTAATCTTCATAAATTTAGCTGAAGCCCCAAAAAATCCACAATCTATGAAACAAAAAACTAAACACATAAGAGCCATGAAAACTAACCTACGGGTTTGTAAGGGCTCGGGCTTCGGCAAACGTAGGCTGGGCACTGTGGAAAGAGCTCTCTTGGTCGATCTCACTAAACGCACTAAAATATAATTAGTTTATTAATTTAAAAATCAATAATAAAAAATGTGACAAAATACTAATAAATTACCTACAAAATCAATTTATTTTATTAAAATATATATTAAAGTTAATGACAAAATAACAATAAATTAACAATAAAAAATTATATTTTTAAATTTTCATAATTAATTCAGCAACAAAATATTGACAAAACAGCGATAAAATAGCATAAAATACCAATAAAATAGCGACAAATAATTTTATAGATAAAATTTATCTAATTTTTACAACAACGGTAGCGATAAAGAAAAATAAAGTACAAAATTTTAACGCTCATTTACCGATAAAAATTTTTTTGTCACTATTTTTTATTGACAAGGGTTTTTACCAATAAAATTTTTTATTGGTAATACTAAATTAGCGACAACAAATAAGGAATTAGCATAAAATTTTTTGATGGTAATTCTTTTTTTTCTTATAGTGAAATGCAAGAACAATTCAAAAACTCATAACCAAACTCTATAAAGCATGCTAATCTCATAAATAGCTGAAGCCCCAAATCAAATCTATGAACAAAAACTAAACACAAAGAGCATGAAAACTACCTACGGGTTGTAGCTCGGTTGGCAACGTAGGCTGGGCATGTGGAAAGAGCTCTCTGGTTCGATCTCCACTAAACGCACCTGTAGGGAGGGGTAAAGAGTCTTAACCGTGACTAAGCCCCGATCTGAATTAAATAGTTCCTGATAATAATGTCCGGATATAGGTGGTTTACACAAAAAAAAAAAGAGCATGAAAACTTCTAGCTTTTTCTTGGAATTCCTTTAAGTTATGACCCTAAATCCTCTTATATGGCATGAATATTGCAAGAATCAATTTGAGGTTTGAGTATTTAGATGATTTAATGGTAATACATTAAGGAAATCAAGAAGATGAGATGGTGTTATTTTCTCCAATGTGGGCCATGAGAGGGAGAAAGAGAGGAAGAAGGAAGAAAGGGAAATAGCTTTGTAAACACAAAGACAAGACTTTGATTTTTCAACAACTTCCCTTAAAGTTGTTAAATTAAACCACATCATTTTGATCCAAGGGCCATGATTTCTTCACCTACAACTTCCATAAATTAGAATGTTTCCCACATAACTCTTAAACTTTGTTCAATAAATCCAACCTCTACACTTTATAATTTCTAATAAAATCTCCAAAGCACTATTCGCCTACAACTTAAATTCTCATGCGAAAATCACAACTTAGATTTTATTATTCTTAACTATTCATACTAAGTCTAAATCAACTTCATAAATATTATTTATGAATAATACCACTCGGGTCAGATAAAATACCATTTTCTTCTTGAGTGGTACTATACACGATCCAATTATGATGCTATTCATAACTCGAAAATTTTCAGGCGTTATAAGGTAAGAAGGAAAGATGAAGAGAGAGGCGGAAATAGTCGGAGGATTGAAAAAAAAGAGTGTAAAGCAACATTAAGAAATAAAAATAGAAAAAAAGATAGAGAGAAAGTAAATTTTATCTCTTTAATTGTTTTTAGTTTTTAGAATTGAATATGGCAACTATCGTTTCAAGAGTGTCTACCAAGGAGCTGCGTGATATGATTAACAAAACTTTGAGAAGGTAAAAGAAGCCATATATTTTTTTAGCTAAAGAAACCAAAATTGAAGCACTAAAAATATTTTTATGATAATAATAGGTAAAAGCCACGCATTGCGTGGGATTTTGATTTCTTTTAAAAAATAGATTTAGAGGAGTTATTTTATGAGTTTTGAAAATAGATTTTGATGACTTATCAATTATTGTTATCTGTGTTGATAAAATTAAAATTTTATAATTTTTATTAGGCTTTTTTTTTTTAAAAAAAAAACATCAATTATGTTTATTTTTCAATTTTAGAAAATTATAATTTTGGCAATTGATTTTATAATTTTTTTTATTCAAATCTTTTTGCAATTGCAAATAAAAGAAAAACCAAATTTATTTATTATTTTTTAAAATTAAAATCATAAAGTGAATATTAAATAATAAATGATACTTGTACCATATAGTTATTGCTAGAAAATTAAATTAATCATTTTCAAGTATGATGGTGATGATGAATAAAATTATTTTATCAAATATTTTATTTCACCAAATATGAATAAAATTATTTGACATACAAGTTGTTTTTACTAATCAACTTCAAGTATAATGGTGATGAAGATATATAGATATAAAAACAGATAATCATTATAAATAAATGGATATAAAATAAAATTTAAAAAATTCATAATTTAAATATAAATTAGATAATTATTT